ACGTCCAGCCAAGGGGGAGGGTCTTACCATCATAGTGGTTATTCATTCTCTCTGCCCGGACTTTTGGCAATTGTTACTGTACATGTACTTTTAGAAATGCTATAAATGCCATAGTATATTGTTGTTCTTTTTATTTAAACAATTACCTTTTAAAGAGATTTTAAAAATAGGAAAAAGCACACAGTTTTCCACAAAATATTCATTCCTGATGTTTCCTCTGGTATTATTTTCATTCAGCCCGAAGGACTTTTTCTGACGTTTCCTTCTGTGTAATGAAGTCCTTCACCTTTTGTGTATTTTTTTTTTTTTTTTTTTTGAGACAGAGTCTCACTGTGTTGCCCTTGGTAGAGGGCTGTGGCATCACAGCTCACAGCAACCTCAAATTTTGGCCTTAAGTGATTCTTTCGCCTCAACCTCACAAGTAGCTGGGACTACAGGCACCTGCCATGACGCCTGGCTATTTTTTGGTCGTAGTTGTAGTTGTCACTGTTGTTTGGCAGGCCCAGGCTGGGCTCAAACCCACCAGCTCTGGTGTACGGGGCTGGCGCCCTGGCTGCTGAGCCACAGGCGTCCAGCCCCTCTGTGTGTTTGTAAGCCTTTATTTCACCTCCTCTTCGGGGGCAGTCTGCTCCCCAGTGTGGCGCGGCTGGTGATCCCCCTCAGTGCCTCAGCAGCTCCGCCCCACTGAATCATTCTCACTGCACCTGAAGAGTCTGCTGTCAGCCTCATCTCTGCTTCTTTGTTCCTCTTTTTTATTAGCTGCTTTTGGGTCTCTAAATGTGTCACGATTTTAAAGCAATCTGACTGTGCCATGCTGTGGCTTTCTTCCTGCGCCTTGTACTAGGTTTGTTGAGCTTCCTGCACCTGTAGGTTTATAGTTTTCACCAACTTCACAAAACATTTGCCATGTTTCTTGAGATGTTTTTTGTGTCCAATCCCTTGGACCCCAAATACCATATATTACATCACTTGCAATCATCACACCACTAACGCTGTTTCTTTAATAAAAACAAATGTCTCTCTCACCACTCATCACCTTGGATAGTTCTCATTGCTGTTTCCTCTACAATATTTAATGGCCTGTTAAGCCAGCTGGTGTTTTTTTCACATACTATACTGTGGAGGTTTTTTTTGGCCCGGGCTGGGTTTGAACCCATCACCTCTGGTATATGGAGCCAGCGCCCTGCTCCTTGAGCCACAGGTGCCTCCCTATACAGTGGTTTTCAACCCCAGAAACAAGTTGAGTCCACTTTATATCTTCCATGTGACAATTTAAGTTTCTTAACACATAATAGGTTTTCAGTATCTGGCTCAATGTCCTCTTCTGCTGATTCTAATGCCTGTGGCATTTCTCACAGATTTGCATGGAGGCCTCCTCCTCCTTACGGTTTATATTTTCCTGATTATCCAGCTGCCTGGTAGTTCTTGACAGCGTCGAGTATAGAGAAACATGGCACTGGGAGTGTCTCTGGAAGAGACCTCCAGGATTGGATTCCTCATAGAATATTAAAAGGGCTTCATCCCGTGCTCTCACGAGGTCTTTGCCATGAGCCAGGTCCCCGTCAGGCCGCTGGCCCACTGTGCACTGCCCACGCCCTCCTCTGCCCTGCCGCTCTCTGGGTCTCCTGCTTACCCAGAGCCCCTCTTTAGGTCCAGCATCCTCCTGCTTCTGCCACAGACCCGTTAGGAGCCCCAGGCCAAGGCGAGTCTAGACAGGTGCTTGGAACACAGGAGGCTCGTCCCTCAGAAGGGCCCCACACTCCAAGGGCTGGCCAGCCTCAGCCTCCCCTCTGAGCAGCTCTTTCACTGACATGAGCCGGTCTGTCTGGGAAGCAGCACGGGCAGCCAACCTGCACGATGTAGCTCAAGTGGTCTGTGGGGGACTCTGAGGTCATCGGAGGCACATGTCACATGGGCGGGGAGGCCAGCAATAGAGGACACGCAACACCACAGGGCCAGACGTGGGGCCAGGAGAGGAGCAGAGAGAGGGAACAAGCTCAAGGCACACAGAACTTTTAACACTGCGGGATGAAGGCTGGGGCAGCCATGAGAAGGCAAGACTAGGCACACAGGCTCAGTTTTGACCAGAAATTCTCTGGAAGGTCCCTCAGTGGAATGAGGGCTTTTAAAGAGACAGTGAGGCGGTGGTCTAAGGAGCTGGTCCACAGCACCCACAGCTGGGCACCCAGCTGGACTGTGCACATAGCTCCACAAGCAGCATCAAATGCAGTTCCTTCAGCACCTCACAAGGAAGGTGGGCTGGACACCCTAGGGCTGGTGAGAGACAGGGGCACACACACAGCCGAGCTCCGCGGTTCTGTGTGCTAGATGTCAGCAGGCTTGGGAGATGAGTGAGATCACACACTGGTGATGAGACCCTCACACAGCCTGGCTGGACTTGAGTCAGCAAGACTTGTGGCCTTGGGCAAAGGGACATAGTAGTGGCTTTGTGGGCGGTAGTGTGCAGGAGAGAGCGCAAAGCAAGGGGATAGGCCTAGGGAGCTGGAGGGTGAATATGGCTGAGTAACCAGCAGAGTGGGGGGCAGAGGGCTGTCCAGTGTGGGTAAGAGGGCTGCCTGGGATAGCAGGGGACAGAGCTACCCCAGTAGGGGAGAGAGGGCTGCCCAGTAGGAGACAGGCAGAGCAGAGAAGTGGGGGTTAGGAGAGATGGGCTGCCTGAGGCTTGGTGTGCTGACCCGGGCTAGGGACAAGGTCAGCCTGGGTGACAAGAAGAAAGGCTGGCCGAGTAAGGCACCCTGGGGCACAGACCAGGCAGCAGGAGCCCCGAGAGGTTTCAGATTTGTCTACCCATGGCTCGGTGCCCATAGCTCAGTGGTTAGGGCGCCAGCCACATACACCGGGGCTGGTGGGTTTGAACCTGGCCCGGGCCTACTAAATGACGACAAGAACAACAAACAATAGCTGGACGTTGTGGCAGGCACCTGTAGTCCCAAGATACTTGGGAAGCTGAGGGAAGAGAATTGCGTAAGACCAAGAGTTTGAGGTTGCTGTGAGCTGTGACTCCACAGCACTCTACCGAAGATGACATAGTGAGACTCTGTCTCAAAATAAAAAAAAAAAGATTTGTCTACCATCTTCCCTAGCTTGCCTCACAGAAAAGCTGCAACTCATTCCCTGTGTTCCTGGCACTAGCCTCTCACCCACCTGCTCTGTGACTCTGAGAGACCTCCTGCCCTGAATGGGCACAGAGCTGCAGATCCAGCTGTGGTTGAGTGGGATGCCAGGTCGCCATACATCACCTACGTGGCCACTTACAAGAGCATTGCCTCATCTGTGAATAAGCTGCAAGATCACATTTATGTGGCCCCAAGGGTCTGTGTTAGAAAGAAGGGACTTGTTCGTGACCGGCCTGAGCCAGAACGAAATCCTCTCTCTAAAAATAGCCAGGCATTGTGGCAAGCGCCTCTAGTCCCAGCTACTTGGGAGGCTGAGGTAAGAAAATCACTTGAGCCCAAGAGTTTGAGGTTGCTGTGAGTTATGACACCACAGCACTCTAGCAAGGGTGACACAGTGAGACTCTGTCTCAAAAAAGAAAGAATTAAGGGACTTTTCAAAGGGACGTCATTGTCACAGGGTATTACACACACTGTGCACACACAAACATGCAGGCACACGAGCACATGCAGCAGGCCAGGTGAGGTCCAGGCTGACACCACCGTGCCCAGAGGTTTTCCAGCAGGAGCCCGTCAGGTCTCCATTGGCTACAAACTGGCCCATCACTGATGCCAGGTCCCAGCAGCCCCACCACAGGGCTCCACCCAGCTCAGCCCACACTGCCCACGCTGCCCTGGACACCCTGCCAGGCGCAAGGGTGTCTCTGAGATGTCTGTTCCAACAATGCTGTAGAGGGCAATGTGGGCACCCATTGCCCATAGCACATACCATTTGTTCCAGAAGCTTCCCTGCTTTCTATAAACAGGCCTTTCCCAATCCTCTCCTCTTGCCTGCTTGATTCATTCCCGACCCTCAAACAAGACACTTTATAGAGCTCTACCCTCAGCTGTGAGCCTTCATCACACACTCTCTCAAGGGCCTCCCCAGGTGGGCCAGGCCCCTCCCAAACGCATGTCACATTGGGTCAGCTCTGAGAAGCTCCCAGCCTGCTCTGGCTCATAGGTTGCCTCCTCCAGCCACAGAGGCTCAGGCCCTGCCAGTGTCCGGGCCCCTCCCGCCCTGCAGCTCAGCCTTACCCTAACCCTCGGGCTTCCTGCACTCACTTCACACAGAGGCCTACAGCTCGGTTCTTAACATCTCTTGGGCTGCTAAATTAAGCCCGGACGCCTTGACCTGACCTCCACCTGGTCTGTTCTACACCCTCTCCCTGCACGCCCTTGCCGCCTCCTCCAAGCCCGTAGGTGTTTTCCCTGACCCTGATGCTGCCACCCACAACCCTAGAGACCCCACTCAGCGCACACGGCCCCAATAGGGCTCGCCCCTAGGATGCAACTGCACTGAACCAGGGGTTATCTGTGACCACACCTTCACAGACTGTGAGCCTGCCCAGGCCAGGCCAGGGACAGTGGAGCGAGGTAGCCCTAGGGAGGGTGACTGCCAATGCCTCAAGCCTAGGCCACAGTGAGAGTCCTCAGGGTGGCTCTGTGGGTCTTGTGCTACTGCTCACAGGTTCAGGGTCCGAGGAAAGAAAAGCAACTGTGGGGACTAAAGCGGGGTCAGGGTCAGGCCTGAGGTTTGCTCAGGGCCAGTCACTGCTGTGGGTAGGAGCACAGGGGACAGAGTACAGGGCACTGAGGGGAGGCTGGACAATGATCCACAGGAGCTGTGGGCCATGTATGACAGAGAGGGAGCCACAAGGGGGCACCTCACCCTGGGAGAAGGACGGCACTTAGCAGGACATGTGGGGCTCCCCCTTGGCCCAGCTTGCCTCACATCTGCACTGCTGAGGTTTCGGGGGATGTGTTCTCAAGTTCAAGAGAAAGCAGGGAAGGGGCTGGGCTGGTGGGATGGAAGGAATTACTCACGCTGTCCACAGCAAGGATCTTGGCCCAGATGAAAACAAGAAGCGGCCTGAGCTCCCGGGCCGAGCTCTGGAGCAGCTTGAGCACGTAGGGGAAGATGCCGACAGACAAGGCCTGTGGGGAGAATGGAGGGCATCAGTGCCAGCTGCGGGGCAGACGCACAGAAGGTGAGCTGAACCACTGCAAGGTGACGAGGGGCTCTCTCTAGACCTCCCCGAAGCTGCTGGGCACCTCCTGCCTTGACTGGCCTGGAAGCCAGGAGGTGCTGCATTGTGCCTGGGAGCCCAGAGCATGCTCCTGCGGGTGGCCGTCTGCTCTCCGCACCAGGCACCTTCCTGGTGATGCCCACATTTGGACCACACCGCCTTGCTCAACACCCATACCCGCATCTGAAGTCAACTTTGCAGAAAGAGCCTGCCTGGGTAGGATAGGCAGCACTGTGGAATCCTGGTGGCTCACTGGCATCTGCCTTGTTCCTGGCAGAGTGCACCTTTGGGCATCAGGGAGGTGGGTGAGGAATGCAGTGTGCACAGCAGCTGGGCAGTCTGTCTATTCCCAATGGCCTCAGCTACTGCTCAGCACTCATCTGAAAGCTGTAGGACTTCCAAAGATATCCCCTTCTGGCAAATGGTGTTCATCCCCAGCAAACAGAGCAGGAGAAGTGGGACCCAGGCAACTAGTGTCCCTCCCTCCCTGTTGAAGGCCACGTTTAGTGGGGAGCTTTTGTTTCCCCTCTCAGTGGTTGGGTCTTAGCTGAGAGCCACACCCACACCTGCAGCAACACCTTCAATGTGGTAGCTGTTCACAGAGCAGCAGAGTTTCCAGTTAGAACAAGCTTCACTCTTTAAAGGGCTGCAATTAATTTAGAAAAATCTTACAAATGCAACTCTTTCTAAACTACTGTGGATGCCTGCTTCCCAGACTTACTAAAGAATACAATCCAAGCTTTTCCACGATGACTAAGCGGCACCCATCACACACACCTTTCACAGACAGCTCAACCCTCAGCTCCTTTGCAGTGTCAGTGGCCCCGTGGCGAGTGCCACCTGATTCTACCAGTCTGGGGTTTGTTCCCTCCTCCTTCAGTGTTGGACTACCAGCTATCAGGCTTTGCTGGTGTTATGTGCTGCAAACACCTAAACACACACATGCCTTGTTCCCACCACCTAGCTCCTAGGACATCAGCGGGCCACAAAGTTTCCTCTGTGAATTTTTAGTGTCTCCCTAAAAAAATAAAGGTTTCTTACAAAAACATGACAATAACATTACCACCCCTAAAAAAAAAACTATTCTTTAATCATATCTAATACCCAGTTTGTATAAAATTTCTAACAGCTTTGTGAGTAGCAACTTTTCAAACTTCCATTTTAAATGTTCATTTGCAAACAGAACCGAGTACAGTCTGTCTCTGGCACCTGCTGATGGGTCTTGAGTTTCCTTTAAGAGGCACCCCTCTCTCGGTATCCCTTTCACTTTCCCTGTGGCTTATTCCTTAAAAAGAAAAATCATTTCTGGTTCTGTCTCTGCCAATCTTTTTTCTCATAAAAGGCCTGTGTTGCTCCCCTACAGAATGAGGAACCAGAAGTGCTTTAGAATCGTGCTGGAAATGAGAGTGAAGACAGAGTGTGAGCACGATTCCTGGGGCAGAAGAAATCCACGTCCCGACACATTCCCTTCCCTGCAAAGGTGAAATCTAATGCCAGGCTAGAGAAGACGGCAAAGCCAAACCCGGACCCCCGCAACGCAGGGCACCTCTGAAGGCTGCTGGGACCATGCAGTGCTCTCTGAGGGCCTCAGGACATCCTGTGGTGTCATGAGCGTCAGCTCCACCCGCCTCCCATGGCCCTGGAGTAAATGCCAAAGGCACGCACCAGGCTCACTGCCCACGGACCCAGGTCCAAAAATCTTCCCAGCAAGTCCAAGGCTCTCAGCCGGTGCACTTGGCTCAACAGCACCTGGAAAAACAAGAAAGAAATTGTATCATGGAATCCACACTCGCCTATGGCCTGGCTCGGCTCAGCCCAGGGCTCGTTGCTCAGTCACCTGCAGCTGGAGCTTTCTTTGCAGAACGCACTTTCATCCATTCATTCATTCACTCACTCACTCAGTGACACAGTCTCAATCTGTCACCCAGGCTAGAGTGCCATGACAGTAGTCTAGCTCATGGCAACCTCAAACTCTGGGGCTCAAGTGATATTCCTGCCTCAGCCTCCCGAGTAGCTGGGACTATAGGCACCTACCATAACACCCAGCTAGTTTTTCTATTTTTAGTAGAGACGAGGTCTCCTTCTCGCTCAGGCTGGTCTTGAACTCCTGCACTCAAGGGATCCACTCACCTTAGCCTCCCAGTACTGGGATTATAGGCGTGAGCCACAGCATCTGGCCCAGTGCGTGCTTTTAGACAGGTTAAAAAAACATTCTTGGGTGGCACCTGTGGCTCAAAGGATAAGGGCACCGGACCCATATGCAGGAGGTGGCGAGTTCAAACCCAGCCCCAGCCCCTCCCCCCCCAAATTCTTTATTCTTTCATTATACAGATAAAATATGCTTCCTATAGAAAGAGTTAAAACAAACACTTTGTAATTGCATTTCAAAAAAAAACCTCGCTGGTGACATTTTGGTATATGGACTTGCAGAAATTGTTCTCCATGCACACACTTCTCTTATTTCTTCTAAACTAAATAATGTTATTGTCTTTCTCATCTCCCTTTTAAACTGAATACATTCTAGCTGTGTCATTCCCAATGGCAGCATCGTATTTCTTTTACAGAAATGTAGATAACTTCTTTAAACAGTTTCTCCACTGCTAGGCATTTAAATTGTCACCAAAATCTTGCTATTATAAACAATGCTGGTGGAGTCTGTGGCTCAGCTGGTGGGGCACTGGCCCCATATACCAAGGGTGGTGGGTTCGAACCCAGGCCTGGCCAAACTGCAACAAAAAATAGCTGGGCGTGGCTTGGCGCCTGTGGCTCAAGTGGCTAAGGCACCAGCCACATACACCTAAGGTGGCGGGTTTGAATTCAGCCCAGGCCTGCCAAACAACAACGATGGCTGTAACCAAAATATAGCCAGGCGTTGTGGTGGGCGTCTGTGGTCCCAGATACTTGGGAGGCAGAGGCAGGAGACTCCCCTGAGCCCAGGAGTTGGAGGTTGCTGTGAGCTGTGATGCCACA